CCCACATATTTCAATCTTACACCTCCACAGTGATCCTGACTCCAATTTCCATGATTTTAGCTCTATTGGTTCACCAAATTTAGTACCATTTAGTACCCATAAGTATTAATTTGTTAAACTGAATCCTGACGTTAATCTTCCATCCCTTAAATGATCCTAACTCCATTTCATTGTTCCAGCTCGGTTCACCCAAATCCAAATGGTACCAATTATAGTACGATTTAGTACTTTTCGCACACAAAAGTAAATTTTATCCAAAACTACGTACATATCCTAATCCTACACTCCGACGGTACTGTTACTTTCAATTTTCAGCATTCCAGATCGATTTGTACCTTCAAATCAAATTTGTACCAAATATAGTACCATATAGTACTTTTCGTAAACATGAGTACACGCTTTCCAAACTCTCCTCATATCGACCCTACTTCTCAACCTTAATTTGCATTTCAAATTTAAATTTTTTAGTTCAATCCATTCACATGCTACGATATTGTACTAAATTTAGTACATTTCAGTACTTTTCGGAACTTATAGTTCGAATTTCAAAAAAGCCCTTTGCTACATCTACTCCATCAGTGACCCTTAATCCAAATTTCAGAGTTCTAGCTCTGCTGGTTCGCCAAATGCAAATGGTATCACATTTAGTACTTTTCGTACCGTTCTAGTACGAATTTCCAAAACCCCAGCCATATCTGACACCTTTGGACCAAGAGTAATCCTCACTTTAAATTTCCAGATTCTAGCTTCGGCCGTTTCGTCTGGTCGTTGATGAATCGTTAAATCAGTCAGTCAGTTAATCACTTTACTCTTTTATTAGTATAGATAAAATGTGTACCAAATATAGTACCATATAGTACTTTTCGTACACATGAGTACACGCTTTCAAAACCATCTCCTTAAATAGACTCTACAACTCAACCCTAATTCGCATTCTACATTTCAAGCTTTTAGCTCTATCCGTTCATATGCTACGAATTTGTACCAAATTAAGTACATTTTAGTACTTTTTGGATAGTTATAGTTCGAATTTCCAAAAACCCTTTGCTACACCTAACCTACACTCCATCAGGGACCACCAATCCAAATTTCAGAATTCTAGCTCTACCGGTTCACCAAATACAAATGGTATCACATTTAGTACTTTTTAGTACTTTTCTACAGTTCTACTACGAATTTCCAAAAACCCAGCCTTATCTGTTACCTTAGCTTCAGCCGTTTCGTCTGGGCGTTGATAAATCGTTAAATCAGTCCGTCAGTCAATCACTTTACTCTTTTATTAGTATAGATAAGTACTTTTTAGTACTTTTCGTACCGTTGTAGTAGGCATTTCAATTTTGATTACATTCTGTAGGAATTGCCAAATATTAATACTTTTTGGTAGGGAGATTTGTTACCTTATGCGACTACAAAATACCAAACTACAGCGAATTCGGCTGAAAAAAGGGCCAAAGAACATAAAAAAAACAGTGAGCGGAGCAGTATAGTCGGACGGGGCCGACCATATGATACCCTACACAACTTCCACGAAAATCTAACTTTCTATGGTTCGATATTCTGAGCTTGGGCAATATTTACCGATATTTGTACCCCCTAGACGTCTAAAAATATTACAAATATTCAGTTCAGCTCTTCTAATTACTTGTCCAGATCCCCTTCACCATGGGTTGTGTTGTGATGTCCGGCTTTCAATAGTGGCCTATAAATCAACTCATAAAAAACACAAACAATTAAGTTTTCGGGTTACTTCATCCAAATATTATTATCTGATCATCACCGAAAATTATAGGCGTTGTCCATGACCATACCTGGATCCTCATTGAAAATTTCAAAGCGATCCGCGATATATTTCCGCCCTCTAGTGTGGCAATGCGTTACTAAATAATATATGAATACGCAAGGACCTGTAAATATTTAAGTGCAACTCCCACATCCGAGTACACACGACAAGACAATTGGTATCAATGTAAAGGTAAACCACTCCTCTAGGATATATTATCAACTTCTCGGGGCTGTGTCCTTCAGGAGTAAATATATACGCCATAGAATACAAATTCTGTCATGTCTAGATCGACTCAGCATGTCTAGATCGACTCAGCTAGTCGAGATATGACGATCGGTATACTTAAAGGTGGGTCTAGGACCAATATTTCTCTACGTTACAAACTTTTGGGGCTGCACAAAGCTATAATACCCTGACACCATAGTTGTGTAGGGTATAAAAACTTGACATGCCTGTAGACAAAAGACAACCCTATGCAAAATTTCAGCACCCTACTTCAATTCCTTCAGAAGATAGCGTAATCAGAGCAGACGGACGTACATGGCTAGATCGTCTTAGAATTTTACCCTGATTTAGAATATATATACTTTATAGGGTCGGAAATGAATATTTCGATGTGTTACAAACGGAACGACAAAATTAATATACCCCCCATATTATGGTGGAGGGTACACAAAAATTTAGAACTCGCCTGTTTGTACAGTAGAGTTGCCTTAGTTTTGTCAAATCAAAAATTGAGACAATTCCCTTATCCATAAATTATAATTTATTTCAAAATGAATTTTGCATTTCTTTTTGGTAAGTTAAAGTATCGGATTAAAAATTAAGAAAACAACAAAATATTTTTGTAAGTTATGCTGCATTTATTAAACGTGCAATTTTAGTTGCTTTGGTTTTGGCGGAGAGTATAACAACTTCGGCGCTATAAATATATATATATATTTTTTTGTTGGTCTTTTATTACCTCTTAAAATTATTATTTTGTCAAATAAATATTTTGTAAATTTAATCCACAAAATTATGAAACATCATTGCAATTGAATATATTGATTTGGATATTTGTAATCCAGTATTCATGGATAACGGTAGCACAGATCCAATTGTTAATCCGCCAGTATTTTGACATACCATTAACATGTATAGTATATATTTTTGATTAGTTGGACTTAGTTTATACCATTTTATGCCATTGTAGCAGGAATCAACAAATGATTCATTCTGAAAATAATTGAATATAAACCAGTAAGGAAAGTAGTGTAAAGTCGGACGGGGCCGACTATATGATACCCTTCACCACTTTGGGTATATTCAACAGATGAATTCTAACAGACATCGCATTTTTGAAGGACCAGTAAATTGAAATTGGATCCCATAACGTGTCATTCCGCAACCTATACTAAATTTTCCATTTGGTCAGATATGGAGTTGTTTTTTACAATGGGACAAAAATATGTAAATCAATTTACAGCAAATATCAGTCCGGATGTCCGATTGGATAAACATGAGTAGTTTGGTGCACAATTTACTTAACATCGGACGAAAATATATATATCGGCCACATTTTGATTTCTTGGTGCATCATGTACTTAAAATCGAAAGCAAATATATATAGGAGCTCTATCCAAAACTTAACCGATTTACGTTGTGCAAAACTATGTGACAATCGGACCCACTTTGGTACATCATTTATATCCAACTTCTAGGTTATTCTAACTTCAGTAAGTTGTGCAAAATTTGTGGCAATTTGGTGTAAAATCGAAAGAAAATATATATGTAGAAGCTATATCTAACTCTGAACCGATTTTCAGGAAACTTAACACATTTTCATTTTAGATCTAACTCAGTACACTAAACCAAATTTTGAGCAAATCGAATGATATATAGGGACTTATGAGAGACTATATGAGAGCTATATCGAAATCTGAACAGTTTTTTCCGAAACTTACCACACATTATTCCAGACTCAATTCAGTACGCTATGCCAAATTTCGTGCAAATCAAAGGATATATAGAAATTTTAGTGCACCATTTACATAAAATCGAGCGAAACTATATATGGGAGCTATATCTAAATCTGAACTGATTTTTCCGAAACTGGCCACACATCATTCCAGACTCAATTTAGTACCCTATGTCAAATTTCGTGCAAATCGAAGGATATATAGGGACTTTGGTGCACTATTTACCTTAAATCGGACGAAAATATATATGTGAGCTATATGTAAATCTGAACCGATTTTTACACCCTACACAACTATGTTGTCGCGGTATTATAGCTTTCTGCAGCCCCAAGAGTTTGTAACGCCGCGAAATATCTCGACGCGTTATATCTCGACTAGCTGAGTCGATCTAGACATGTGTGTCCGTCCGTCTGTCCATTATAATTTGTAAACACGATACAGGCCGCAGTTATGGACCAATCTTCACGAAATTTTGCATGTAGGATGGGTTCTGCCCAATGAAGACCCCCATTGTTTTTGGTAATGATCGGTTAATATTTAGGGGATGAAATGGACAAAAAACTAAATTTTTGTCTGATTTTTTGGTCGCTCCAGAGGCCGCAATTATGGCCCAAACACCGCGAATTTCTACATGGAGAAGGGGATTGGGAAAAAGAATAAGCATGCCTGTTTTGATAAAGATCGATCAATATGACTTTTTGTGAAAAATGACAAGATTTGTATTCTATAGCGTATATATTTACTCCTGAATGACATAGAGCCGAGAAGTTGATAGTATATCCAAGAGGAGTGGTTAACCTTTACATTGATACCAATTATATTGTCGTATCTACTCGGATGTGATAGTTACATTTAAATATTTACAGGTGCTTGCGTACTCAGGTATTATTTAGTAACACATTACCACACTGGAGGCGGAAATACTGCGCGGATCGCTTTGAAATTTTCCATGAGGATCCAGGAATGGTCAAGGATAACGCCTATAATTTTCGGTGATGATCAGATAATAATATTGGGATGAGGTGGACCGAAAACTTAATTTTTTGTGTTTTTTCTAGTCCATATATAGTCCACAATTGAAAGTCGAACATCATAACACAACCTACCGTGAAGGGAATCTGGACAAGTAATTAGAAGGGATTTACTGAACATTAGTAATATTTGTAGACCTTTAGTCGGTCAAGAGGGTGTAAATATAGCGAAATATTTTCCCTGTATCACAGTGTGGTGAAGGGTACACAAATTCAATGTAATGTTTAATTTTGGACATTACTTCTCATACTTACAGTCACATCAACCAAGGTTCCAATGCCACAATACACGAACAGCATTACAAGGCAATATATCATGTATATGTATCCTCCAGGCCAGGTTCCCAACAAAATACAAAACAGAGAACAAACAATACCGATTGAATAGGTACTTATTTGAGCTACAATTACCCAATAATACGTATCCTGAGTAGTTTGGAGAAATCTACAAATCAAATAAATATTCGCTATATATTATTATATGCATCGATGCCAAGAATGAAGATAGATAATAAAGAAGTAAATAAAATATCCTAAAAAAATACCAAACATCCTTGAATAATAACAATCTTTGTACAATATGTCAATGCTCTTTCTTAAATATTGCGGATTTTATAGCCAATTCTATAATACCCTAGGATTAATAGCCATTTTTGTGCAAAGAATCGAAACCAGAAAAACCTTTTGTAACAGCACAATGAAAGACCCTGGTAAGTATATGAAAACGCCAGAACGAAAATATTCGCCATAGGTCAAAGTTCTATGATATGGCGTGATCCTTTGCTTGCTGACGACCCTATCATACTTGAAGCGATAACTTTATATCTTCATTTGTAGCTATTGCATGGAAATACATATTCTGGATAGAAATTATTATTACAGTGGTGTATTATTAGCTACCTTAGATATCGTTGATGGAATATTATTACATCACTCAATAAACGGGAAATCTTTAAATGATCTTCTTGATCTTCTCCTTCAATGACAGCATTGATGTCCTCAAATTTGCAACGTAAGATTCCCTTCATTGTGGCAATCTGAGAAATTGGCGTAAAGAATGCCATATCACCAGCATAGAGACCAAAACCACCGACCATTAAAAATCCCGATTGAACAATCATTGTGGCAATAAATCCGTTGGGTGTTGTTGGATCTGCTCCAAGGATATTACCATAGACGATAAGTTGGTGTTTGTTGAAGATTGCATTCACTGCCACCGCCACCAGAATCAGGCCACAAATCATGGTTACATTTACAACGGCACACAATTTCATAAAATAAGTAAGCACTTGACAGCCTTGATTCAAGTAGACCCTGTAACTGGGAGATTTTAATTCGTATTCCTTGAATAACGAAAATACTTCGTCCAGTAGGTAACAAAACTTCGATCGTTGTCGAAGGCAGTTGACCAGCTTACAATATCCCTAGAAAATAATTGCAAATCGTCTTTCAAATCGAAATATCAGAATTTTAACTTAACACACTTGTGTAAGGGTTCCCCCACCCACTGAGAGAACCTGTAGGAATATTTTCCAATCATCATCACCCGCCAATCCTTTATAAATTGTGACGCAGAATGTTATAATACTGAAATTGATTATGAAAAGGACCAGACAGGTGCGGATGTTAACATGATAATTTGGATCGAATACATCGGCACCGCAGATGTCGCTACAAATTCGTGTTATTCGAACAATTCGACTTAGTCGCTCAGAAGGACGATTTGTTTTGTTGTTGTTGCGTGCGTCTTCTAAATTCATGTTTGCAAAGTTGTTGGGATTCTTTCGCACTGTTCTGTTGAAGAAAGTTCCAGGATAATGTTACTGTCGATTGCTTACAAAAAATGTAAATGTAAACTGGGATACCAGATAAAAATCTAAAGAGAGAGAGAGAGAGGGCAGAAAGACGAAACAGGACAATTATAACCTTAAACTATTTTACATTAAATAATTCAAATACTATAGACACAAATAACTTGTGAGAAATTCCCAGGATCGATTAAAAAAAGCAAGAAACGGAACAAATTAGTCGGAATGTGCAGACCGATTTGGGTAAACCATAATGTACACCAAATACAAATTTCAGCAATTTTTTATTGAGATTTTTCCTAAAAACACCAAAAAGTGGACTGATATTGGCGATGCATTGTAGGTTGCTAAATGCTCCACTAAATGCTTCAATTTAGAGCGCTCAGTTATATGAGGCTATCGCCAATGCACCCTGGTTTTTATACCCTTCACCACACTGTGGTACAGGCTATTATGTCTTTGTGCATATGTTTGTTACAGGCAAAAGGAATCGAGATAGACCCATGGTTCCTTTTGAGAATATGCATAGAATCACTTTCTGAGTCGATTTATGCATGTCCGTCCGTCCATGTATTTTTGTGAGCAAAGTACAGGTTTCATTTATGATCCGATTTGGATGAAATTTAACATAGGTCACTTATTTGGCCCAAGGACGAACCCTATTGAAATTGGGAAAAGTCGGTTCAGATTTAGAAATGAACACAGCGTAATGAATTAGATCTAGGATGATGTGTGTTAAGTTTCCTGAAAATCGGCTCAGATTTAGATATAGCTCCCATATATATTTTCGTCCGATTTAATGTAAATGATGCACCAAAGTCATTATATATCTTTCGATTTGCACGAAATTTAGCACAGTCTAATGAATTAGGTCTAGAATGATGTGTGTTTAGTTTCCGGAAAATCGGTTGAGATTTAGATATAGCTCCCATATATAGTTTCGTCCGATTTTAGGTAAATTGTGCACAAAACTCGGAATGTTTGTCCGATTGAGACAACATTTTGCACAGCGCACTAGATTAGGTCCAGTTTGATGTGTACGAAGTTTCGTTGAAATTGGTTCAGATTTAGATATAGCTCCCATATATAGCGTCGTCCGATTTTATGTAAATGGTGCATCAAACACGCAAGCTGTGTCCGATTGATACAAAATTTTGCACAGACTACTGAGTAAGGTCCAGTTTGATGTGTGCGAAGTTTTGTTGAAATCGGTTCAGATTTTGATATAGCTCCCATATATAGTTTCGTCCTCTTGTATGAATTCAAAGTGGTGAAGTTTGAACTTTCCTTACTGATTTTATTTCGGTGGGTTGGGTGGAAGCTGCTGGTTCAATATGAAAATTGCCATTGCAGAAAGAAATTTGTATGAGTACGCCCCTGAAGACTATAGCTAAAGCGGCACTAATATTGATTACATCGTGTAGGAATTACCGAAAATTTGTAGTTATCATTATATGAGGTGTTATACCTATTTGAGGACTGATATAGCCCAATTTCGAGGCTAAAACTTTTGCATCACAATAATTTCCTTTACGCTAAATATTAAAATTCCCGAAAATCGGTAGGTATTATTATATGGGATTTAGATCTTTCATCGGGCCGATATGGTTAATTCTTCAACCTCACGTCCTAGTTTTTTTTTATCTCAATATCCTCCGCAGGTAGAATGATTACAACAAAGTCTTACAACCCAACCCAAAACGCGAAACAAATCAGATAACTATTTTAATGTAAACAAGTGAAAAAAGCGTTCGGTCTTGCAATGAAAATATAGGGAACATACCAAAAAGTGGGCCCATACCGATAATTCTACAAACCGATTTATGTAAACTATTATGTTCACCAAATACAAATTTCAGCAATACGCCAAAACATGGACTGATACTTATAACGCATGGTAGAGTGCAAGATCCTCAAACTACTGCAATTTTCAACGTTATATGAACCCAAAGGGGGACCAATATTGATTACATAGTGTAGGAATTGGCGCATATTTTGGCTTATCATTATATAAGGACTATTCCTAATTAATGACCGATACATGTCAATTTCGAACCCAATATTTTAGTTTTGTATCTCAATTCTTTCCTTCAGGAGGTATTATTATATGGGGGAGATGCCTAAATTCTGGCCGATATATGTCATTATCGTCAGATTTGAGTTTTTATGACGATATCCTTAGAAGGTGGAATGATTACAACAGATGACTAGTCAAAACCCTAAAAAAATTAACATTTGGGTCTACTATTTGGGGGCTACAAGAAAAAGTGGACCTAATGTACCAAATTTCAGCGAATTCCGTTGAAAAACTCGCCCAAGAACCCCAAAATATCGAAAATTGGGTGGTACCCTTATATGAAAGCTATGTCCAAACGTGGACCGATATAACCCATCTTCGAACTTGACCTGCCTGCAGACAAAAGAGGACTCTATTTAAAATTTTGGCGATCTGTCTCAATCAGTTGAAAGGCTAGAGTGATTACAACAGACAGACGGGCATGCTTAAATCGTCATAGAATTTTACGCTGATCAAGAATATATATATAAGTTAAGGACTAGTGTCCTGGTTTTAATAAAAAAAATCAACTTATCAACAACAGTTGATACAAAAATTAAAATGCAAAAATTATTAATTTTAATTCCTTTATTAATGATGATTTTAGATAAGAGAAAATTAACGCGACTCGTTTTACTCCCGAACTCCAACTGGTTTCTCGCCTTCATAGTTCTTAACTCCAAACCTCACGTTGTTGGCAGCGACGTCCAAATTATGCTTATTTTAATATTTCCCACAGGTGCATTATGCTGACGGTAGGCCTAGTGCACGAGTTCGATGACTGTGGGAACATATCATATTTCCGTTTCGCAAGTGAATCGAAAGTGCTGACTTAGCGGCACGTGTACGTATGAGACGTCGCAGCACAGTGGTTTGGAGGTATTGAGGTGTGTTAACTCTTCCCCCTCTAAAAATCTGCGTCCCGCAGATCAGGATGTAAGGAGGCGTTTTGTTGTATTATTGGCAGGTTCAGTTTGGGTAGGTTTTTCTTCGTTGTTAACTTTCTCCAGGTTATCCAAATAAGCACCATTAGTACGAATAGACCCAATGATCCTGACATCATGAACCACGTAGTTTTCTCCTTTAAATAGGCCAAAAGTTGTATATTTGTCGAAGCCATTTCATGTACGAGATTCAGGTTAACGGATAGGCTCTTATTTGTGATAGTGGTCAGTACTGGTGGGAGAACTTGACCTCCAGAACTGGTCAAACTCCAATAGATTTTGTTGTTGATTCTTAATGATTCATTTTCCATTTGTAGAAGAAAGGATCCATCGAGATGATGGGAAGTTCCGTTGGACCACATGCTACTGTTAAAGTTATCCAAAATCATTGTGTCATCTTTATGTAATTCGATTTTTGAAACTGCTCGTACAATCCTTTAAAACTGCTCGAACAATTAGGTGATTAAATTTGGTTTGCGCTACCTTCGGCATTGATAGTATGTAGAGTAGGTGGGTGCCATTAGTAGAAGGCTCGCTGTATTCGATGACTTCGATGATGTTATTTGGCCTTGGCCATTTGGCAAGCTCGGACTAATTCACCTATATCTTCCTTTAGTATCGTCACCTTGTGCTGTATTTCTTGTGAGGACTTAGCTTGAATGTTATCCTAAGGGATAATTACAAACTATTGACTTAAATCTAACGAGTTATTTTAAAGTAACATGTTAATTTAATAAAATAATCAAGAAGTCATTATATAAAGCTTTTAAGATTCAATATTATTGGCCGAAAATGTTAACAATTTTATATTCTATAAAGTTTTGAAAAATATTAGAAATCATTAAGTAGTTTTGTAGTATTCAAATTGTTTACTAAAAGATACCTATATAATTTTCTAAAAACATTATACCATACATGACTATTTTTTAATGCCAATATTTTTACATTTTTACTTTATAAAATTTTGAAAATAATTTTAAATGTAATTTTCTTAGCAAAATTAAAGCAGAGAATAATAAGTCAAAAAATAATAAGCCGAAATTTTCACATTTTTTCTGATCATACAAAATTTTGAAAATGATTGAAAGATTCTTTAATATAAAAATGTCTATATTCTAGCGGTTAGTAGCAATTGATTAGTAGTAAGGAATGAGTGGAGTTCGGGAAGACGGAATACGTTTCTTTGGATCAATCGAATAACAGGGAAGTGGGATGTTTTATGTTTTGTTAGTAGTGATTTTTATTAGTTTTCGATTTTGTTTTTATTGTTTTTTTTTATTTTTTTATTTCTTTCTATTTTTTTGTTTTTGGATACCATTGTGGGTATCAGGATAGGGTTTTGTACCGTTTATGGTACCATTTTTTTTTTGATTTGTAATATTTGTGACCCTTATCTTGGGTAGTTTTGTGATTGTGAACCCTGTTTGGGTTTATATTTTTGTGGGTAATATTAATTTTCATTCTTATTTTTTTCTTTTGTTTGTGACCCTTATTTTTGTGATTGTGAACCCTGTTTGGGTTTATATTTTTGTGATAATATTCATTTTCATTCTTAATTTTTTCTTTTGTTTGTGACCCTTATTTTGGTGATTGTGAACCCTGTTTGGGTTTATATTTTTGTGATAATATTCATTTTCATTCTTAATTTTTTTGTAATATTTATACACCAGGAGGGTGTTAATTGGCGATTATTTTCGGAATGCAGGTGTGAACTCAGATGACATAGGAAGGGTCATGTTAATCCCTTTTAGCCATAGCCTTTAGCCATTGCTACAGCCTACTCATGGCATGAACACCTTCACCGTCAAAATAAAGCCATAGATTCTTGGTGGAGTTGAACCACTTCGAAGACCATCCCTCGGACCACCGAGAAAACTGGAATTGAACCAGTGTGATGTATCGAATACAAATATTGAACAATTTGCACCCAGACCGCCCGGGACCAGATATCT